GTTCATTTGTGTTCAAATTGATCAATATCGAAAATCGTTACTACCGTGTTTCTTATGCGATTTAGGAATTCATACAAGAATGAACATGGAAGATCAATAGTAAAAAAAAATTAATAATATGAATGCATATTTTTTGGGATTAGATTGTTTGTAACTCCCCATTAGTTGTTTGGGGGTTACAAAAGAATTCAATTTACTAGAATACCCTTGTAAGGGTAAAATGAACAAGATATAAACCTATAAGAATAATAGAATTTGATTGGTTGAAAGGGTTTTCAAAGTTAACACAAAAATGATGGTTAACATTTGATCTTTCCATAATTATCTTAATTATATTTTAGAATTTTCATATTTTAAAATGAGATGTTTATCCTCTATTTGATTATGTTTATCCGTAGTTAGTTACACGAATTCAAATATGAAACTTTAATAAGTTGTACATACGCACAATTTATTTGTAATCTTGAATTTTAAGTAATTTGCATCAATAAACAGTACTTCATGCATAAAAAATGATTTTTAAGAGTTTTTGTCAAATACTTTATAATATAGTATATATATATATGTATATATATATACATATATATATATATACATATATATATATACATATATATATATATACACATATATATATATATATATGTATATATATATATATATACATATATATATATATATATATATATATATATATATATATATATATACACATATATATATATATATATATATATATATATATATATACACATATATATATATATATGTATATATATATGTATATAGACTTAAGATCATGTAAGACCAAAGGTTTTTCGTGAGACTCGTAACACCCAATAAGCAACAACATTCTAACTTACTTTAACAACCTACGCGGTAAGACTCTCCATCTTTATCATCGCTCTTACTAGGTAAGATTCTCGACACTTTCCATGTTTATCCAATAAGATAAATGACCCGATAAACACTTATCAGATAGACATTTGTTAAATATTACCCACTGAAATAGATTTATTATTTGCACTAAATTTAAATAGATATGGTATTAAACCATGTTGTAAGATGTTTTTAGAGCAAATAAACAGATGAGGTTGTTCAAACCACCTAAACTTCCACATCTATATTTCCTTACAAAAAATAGTATCCATTACAACTCTCATAACAATAAAAAAAAAATCAATAAATGCTACAAATAATAATAATAATAATATTAATAAATAAAAAATGCTGAAAAAACTATGGGTTGATATGCAAAACCTTTGGTGCAAGTCTCAACAACCTGTCCAAAGCATGTGGAGTGAACTTCCTTGCAAACAAGTGACATGTTTCATTTCTCCTCCCATTGTACTCACAATGCCTCTCATTCCTCAACTTCTCCAAAAACTCATGTGTCACATCGTACCTCGTGTACCGTGTCGGGTGGGGCCCCCCTTTCGACCAATCCACAAACGTTAACGTCCGGTTCGAATTCCTTTCCCCAAACCTACGCGTTACGAACGTCGGCAGGTAGTGTTCGTCCGCGTAGCATGACCCATTACAATGGTCTTGGAAGACAGGGAAATAGGTGTTGTCGGAGATCACCTCGATGGCTAGGTCACGATTCATCTCGAACCATTGTGACCCTTTTCGCCATTCGCCGATTTTGACGGTTGGGTGCATTCTCAGACTGTAACGGCCTCGCCCAACGGGTCCGGCCAAGTCGTAGGACTCGATGTAGTTGTGGTTGGAGTTTATCAAGTAAGAGTAAACAGTGGTGAAATTGAACAAGGGAATGCAGGCCTCGGAGAGGAGAACGAATCGTTGGTTGGAGAAGTCGAGAAGGGCGTTGGCTAGCAAGCGCCGCTCCGCTTCGATCATGCTCACTTTACCCCATTCAACAGCCTATAATTCGTAAGAAACAACGTCAAACACGACTTTACATGAAACAAGCCAAGACTCGCTCGGGACGTAGCACAATTATATCTCATACAGGGGTGTTTGGGATTGCTTATTTGAAACAACTTATATTTTTCTATAAAAGTCCTTATCAACTTATTATAAGTTATAATGATTTAACTTCTTCAAAAACTGCTTATTAATGGTTTGTCACCGGTATAAGCTGTTTATCCAAACACTCAGAAATGATTATTACCGGTGCCACACCCTAATAAGTTTTTAAGCAGCCACGTTATATACAGCTTAAAAAACTAGGCAAGACATATACAGGGGTAGAATGATAAATTCAGGTGGAGAAAAATTCATTACCTTGCTGGGAATTCTCCGGCCGTAGAAGACGGAATGAATTGGTTGTGTCCAATTGGAGCTATGGACATAAATGTTGAAAAGACCATCGTGCCCTTTGAAGAACATCTCCCACAATGGCGACAGCAAGACCGATCCTCTCGTCAAAAACATGAAGGCCACCTTCGGAGTTCTGTGGAAGGGATACTCCATGACTTTGGGAACCATCGATGCCCTCCAAATCAACTGTTGATCGCTCAGATCATGCATTAAATCCGTTGGATGTATGTAATCTTCTAGTCCGATCTTGGGTGGCGATGAAACGGTCTGGTGGTCGTGGTCGGTGTCAGTGGAGAGAGAGAATTGGGTGAATTGGAGGTTGAAGGAGACGTTTTTGAGATGGAAAGTGAGGATGATTCCTAAACATAAACCGAATCCGAAGAAAAGGATCAGAGAAAGGAGATTTGCTAGCTGTAATGGAGCATTAAAGAGTGAGTTTTGATTGTTCTTCATTGTGAGATAGAAGAATAATCTGGAAGTGATTCAAAATTGGGAAGAAGGAGAAGAGAAGGGCGTTAAATTGGGAGAGAGAGGTGTAGGGCTATGAATTCTCTGGAGACACATACATTCTACTCGTTTTCTTTTTTTCAAAATAACTTCACGTTTGATTTTGAGTAAATTACAAATTTCGTCCATTTGCCTCCCAACTTTTATCTATCGTTAAATCAAATCGGTCAAAATAATTATTTCTTACTCTTAAATTCATTCCCTAGTTATTTCCCTCTCAAAATGATCCAAATGTCATTACTTTCACAAATCTTACGTCCGCCACTTATGGACCTAGCTAAAACACATACAAAAAAAATCAAATTGTAGACCTGGGTCAAATCTGATAAAAAATTTTGTTTTTTAGTTGGGTTTGGAAGTGACAGATATGGGACTTGTGGACGTGGTGATATTTTGATAAATTAGGGAGATTTAAACGACTATAAGATCAATTTATGTGAGAGAAATGACTATTTTGACCAATTTTTCTTATCCATATTAGTCTTAAAATCAAAATAAGTAAAAAGATTGGACTCTTTGGTTTATGTATTTACACATTCCAAGCTCTTGCCATTAAATGATCAGAAAAAAAAAATGTTAATTTGGTTAGAGCATCTTTAAGAGTTATGCTATATTTTTTTTTCTAAAATTGAATATTAAAAGTTAAATCTCTAAAAATGTTACAAACTTTAACAGGTACTCTATTTTATCAATTCTTCTATTAATTATATTATTAAAATATTCAGTATATTTAATAAAATATTATTTTTCTCTTCTAAACATCTAATTTCAATGGCTCATGTCAATAAAAAAGAATTAAATATTATTTATTTTTATTAAATATGTAGTTTTAGAGATTTTTCTAAATTTTGAGATTTCTACCATCTCCCTCTCCCTTCTTTTGTCTATTTTAACATATACAATAGCATAGTTGTTGGAATAAAAAAGTTGCTAAAACTTCACTTTTATCTAATTTAGCATAGTTGTTGAAGATGCTCTGAAATAAGAAAGTATTTTGATCTTTTTTTAATTTATATGTACACATTTATTTTACATATACATACAAAGTTGGATTCACGTGAGACCAACATGTTTTCGTGAGACCCTTGAGACCACTTTTTTACATTTGAAACTTCACAACAAAAGATTGTGAAAGTAAAAATATCGAACTTTCATAACAAAAATACTGTGAAACCTTCACAATGTTTTACTATGAAATTTCAAATGTAAAAATATTTTCTCACATGTCTTAAGATAGTCTAACACGATCCCAAATCTATACATACAAATATATATTACACTACTTGCCTCCCTACCCAGGCTACCCTATCCAGTGTTGGTAGGTTACAAACCCTCCACATTAATTAAATTATTAAAATATTTTATAAATTTATCGTCATAATACATTTTTCAAAAACTTCAATAAAAAAATTCTAGCACACACAACCTCATTGACGGAAAAAATAAATAATGGGTTTTTTATTTTTGCAGAAAACTAAAATATTATAAGATATGAAAATGACTATAATACCCTTTTTGATTTAATTATAGTTGGTAAAAGTAATTAACGGACATGCATTTAAGGACAAAAACCAAACGATTTTTAAGACATAGGGAATGATGTTAAATAAATGAAGATTAGGACAAGTTTCTCCTCAAAAATATTTCCTAAATTAGTAAGTGCATCTTCAAAAGTTTCTCAACAAAAATTCCAAAATAAGAAAGTAAATGGGTTTTTTATTTGACTTTTTTATAAAACTATTCAAATACTTTATTTTGTTATTTTTTTTAAGTTGTCTTCGATTAAAATAAGTATATTAAATGTCTTTATGGTTTGCATTTTTGTTGCGAGCCAGGTTTTTGATATTAATAACGTTAAAGAACATTTGGTAACTCAGGGATATATATATATAGGTCATTTTATGTTTTGTCTCATTATAAAATAAGAGTTAAAAGATTATATATTATATTATAATACACACACAAACACCAAAACCAGACGCTGCCACCACTCTTCCGGCCTCTCTTCTCCATCGCAGCACCTTCATCACTATGTCCCTTTCTTTCTCAAACTATTCTGCAACTGTCAGCATCAACATGACAACACCTCATCCTCAATGCCACCTCCCTCACCTCCAACATAGTTCTCCTTTCACCTCGGCCAACAATAACGTATTTTTTTCTCTACTTTTTTTTTATTCTAAATCCAACATGGTGGAAAAGATGCACATTTCGACACTCCCTATGAAGAAAGAAATGCGCTAATTCATGTATGAGATGAGGATGGATGCTTCTTTTATCGAAAATACACTAAAGTACCAAAAACTTCAAAAATTGCAATTTTTTTCAACACCCTATTCCCAAAATTTCCTGTAATCTCAGAACCCTTAACTGAAGCAGGGCGGTCATTTCATATCTTGTTTAGAGTATCAATTCATGCATACTCTAGTTTCCATCTAGGTTTTAATTTCTCATGGGTAATTGGTTTTGCGTTTGGTTTCCATCTATGCTTTCTCACATGACTACAAGTGGGCCATTTGATTTTGGATCGAGGTTTCTGATTTGGATGGTGAAAAAGAGAAGGTTGTGGGTGAGGATTCCAGATAAAGAAAGGGTAGTTGTAGGTGGATTTTGTTCTTGATTTGGGGGGGTGTTGTTGGACAACGCTCTCCAACTGACCCCATCCTTGTGAATTCGCCTTTGCCATTTATATATATAGAGAAGCATTGAGCAAAAGCAAATGGGATGAATAAGGAGTGGTTGGAGATGTGGGAGAAGGAAAGGCCGGAACAAGGGATACGTGACTAGTTGTTATTAGAAGTGTAGAAGTCTTTTTTTAAAAGCAAAATAAAAGAAAGGGGTTAAATGACCAAAGTATCCTAGAGTTAACAGATTGGAGTTAACTCCGTTAGGGCAAGGGACCTAGTTCGCAACGAAATGCAAACGACATGAAAAGTCACTATACTTATTTTGAAAGATAGGCCATATCCATATTTGAGTATATGGACCTATGGTATAATTTACTCTAGTTACTTTTATTATTTATTGAATATTTTTTAGAATAACATTAAAAAACCGTGTGGTATGTTCAAAATTTGGATATCATTTCTTAAACGCACTATCTATGTTGGTGGTCCCTTACTTTTCATTTTAAATAAAACTCATGGTTTAAATCTTGATGAAATTGCCCCTCACTTAAGAGCCACATGACGCGATTAACAGACCTTAAATTGGACGTGATATCATCCCTTAACGCATTATTTAAATTAAGGAACCATTAATGTTATAAAAATAAAAAGTTATGAATATTGAAACCACATTCAAAATTTAAAGCAAAGAGACCTTCAATGTTGTTGATTCTATAATTAACATTGAAATCATTAAAATAAAATCTTTATTTTAAAGAAACTAGAAGGGTACTTATGTAATACAGCGAGATATATCTTGTATGTGGTTTTAAGAAGGTGATAATTATTTTATTTTTGAATAAAATATAAATTTGAAGATATCATAATTTCAAAAATAAATATATCAATATTAGTATCAAATTAATTATTTAAAAGTTATTAATTTTGTGTAATTTCTTTAATTCAAATTTTTTTTATTATAACTTAGTTTAGATTTAATAACAAATTAATTTATTTTTTATTTAATAATATGATTTTTTATAAAGATTAAGAATTTTGTTAAAACTCAATGATTATTCTAATTATATTTAAAATAGATATTTATCCGGAATTTGATTATGTTTATCTGCAATTAGTTATACGAATTCAAAAATTAAACTCTAATAAGTTCTATTTACGCATAATTTACTTGTAATCTTAAATTTTAAGTAATATGTATTAATAAACCATAGTTCATACATAAAGAATGATTTTTAAAAGTTTTTATCAAAATTTTAATAATATAGTATAAATTTAAACAAGGCCGGTCTTAAGATTTTTGATGCCCTGTGCGAAAATAATAAAAATGCCCATAAACCTATTTTTTTAAGTCAATAAAACAACGAAACATGCGATTTTTTAAAAAGTTTAGAACATATTCAAGCTAAGTATTTTATCCCGATGTTGATTTTTATTAATTGTAATTAAAAAAATACAATGGAGGGGACATAAAAACCAAAACCCCGAATACAAAATATAAAATGATAATCATGGATTAAGATTGTGCTTCCTTCTTTTCCAGTTTTACCTTTTCCAAATTGAAATTAGCAAAATAGAAACTTTATTTCAATATATGGAACTTAAAAGATAAGGAAAACTATAATTAGTTTTTAACTAAAATAGAAAATTACAACCAAATTGCTGTCATAGTAAGCAAAAAGTAAAAATTAAAAGTTACATGTCTAACGACTAAAGGCTAAACGTTTATCTGTTAGCAGCTTAATAAGTTTAATGGAACTAAAAGCTTATTCACTCAACTATGCATGATTGTTTCGTAGTGGCTTAATGATATAGAAAGTTACTTATCCAGTAAGCTTCTAGAGGGAGCTTTATAGAAAGCAATTTTTTTTTTCCAAACATGTCCCTTCCAACTAAAAAAACGCTCATTACATTTGCGATAAAACTCTCTCAAACAAATTTTTTGCCAACTTATACAAATAGATTAATTCATACAAACAACTTTATTCATAGTGACAACTTTATATATACAAAAACTTTTCCAACTTTCCAACTTTTTCTAACGATGTGCATTCAATATTCATTACTACTAGGCCTTGGGTCTGTTTTATAGTTAAAGCTCGGTTGTCAAATTCTCAAATTATTAAACTCAAAACTAGTAATAAATGACAATTTGATATCCCTTTAAACTTTGATGCATTGTACGACCGCATAGACTATACGTGGCCAGGGTCGGCCCTGGATTTAAAGCTTTTGGTCCATGCACATGTGAATGTGAGCAAAAAATTGGTGGTTGGAATTGGTTGAAATAAAAAAAATGATGTTAGTTGACCAAATTCGAAC